AAATTAACTACGGAAAACACCTCCGGGCAACCAAACCCAAACCGTTTATGAGACAAAAAGTGTGTTTTGTTACCATGAGGTGTTGCTCTTGTATATTTTGAAGTCCTAATTTTGGAGAAATGAAAATGTTATTATTAAACGATTATTGCTTGACAGGATGCAGTAATACAAAGTCACACTGTATTTTTTGTGCCGCGTCCATGATTGGCCTAAGACTTGACATTTTATATTTATAATGTGTTTTCTTCTATATAGAATGCTATTTAAAGATCAGCTTCATCTTTCAGTATGTCCGTGAATTGTATATTCATATAAATGAAATTATAAATACAATGGAAAGAAATCAATATATTAATATTATGTTGTGTATAATTTCCAGTTAAAGGCTCTGAATGCATAAAATGTATAGAGTATCATTGCGGGTTTAGTTGATGGCATTTTAGCTCGTGTGTTTCGCAGGAAATGCCAAGCTTTCATGATCCCTGTGTCATCGTAATCGTTATCGTCATCGTCCTCGTGCAACCACTTTATTGAAGACCATTATTCAACACTTTTTAAAAAGGTATCAACACAAGATTTAATATTCTTGCACATGATGACACGATTCAGTTGTTAGACAAGGGGCATAATTTTGAAGTTGTGCCCAATTTTTGCTATGAATCTTTGTAGAAACTGCCTATAAAGAAGAATGATTTTGAACTATGAAACGTGAACATAAAACTGAGAATACTTGATTATCATGACAAGGCAAATTTTGTAGACAAAGGGCAAAAACAATACAAATGTATCTGAAAGCTATGTTTCCGAAGTTACCCCCCTTTTTATATAAGAATTTTGTCAAATAAGTTGATTCAGTAGAATGGTTTCAAAACTATGAAAGATATCAACATGAAACTTGGAATACTTGATTATCACGACAATGAAAGTTATCAGATAAGGGCATTATCCTATTAACAAAATATTTGGGAGTTATGTTCCTTTTTACTAAGAATATTTATAATAAAAAAAATGTTATTGAAAGATGTTGTCCTAAGAGCGATAAAAATACGCATGCGGTGCTCTTGTTTCGTTTTAATATGAGAAAAAGTATTTGTTTCAATTGGAAGTAAATAGAATGATTAATAAAATGGATGTCATTGTACCTTGGAGTCTTGTTATGAATTTTGAAAAGATCATTTCATGTAAGTTACATTATGCCTATCTAAGAGTATATTGTGCGTGAACAGATAAAAGTCAAAATATGTTTACGTCTGGCCATAACTCCTTTTAATTTAACAATTTAGTTCGCAAAAACGATAAATTACTCATGAGGCCAAATGCAATTTATGTAAATACCAATCGGACTTTACAAGTAACGTCCCATTTATGAAAAATAGTCAGACACTATTTTCATATTTCTGGCAAATTATCCTAAACATTTTCCAGTATCAACTGTTGGTCAATTACTATTATTACAGTCTATATTTCGAAATATATAGTTTTAGAGAACAGAACATTTATTTTTTTTTAAACGTGTCTTGATAAAGAAAGCACTTGTATTTGAATCGAGTATATTGTTACCAGGTTAGGATGTCACAAGCCAGGTAACGCCGAGTTAAAAAAATCCATAAGAGGCAAAAATAAGATAAGTAATATATCAAAATACTCCTATAATAACCATTTTATAATACACCTTATCAAATTTAAACTATAATTTTTCAATCATAATATAAATTTACTTGACATAAGGCCATTTACGTCGTCCCGCCATTCTGGTTTTATATTGTATTGTATGCATGTGATACATACATTAAATGAAGAGAAAACATGTACATGTATATTATTAAGTAATTTATAACATGTACGGATTTGACAGAAATATATGAAAGCTTCTAAATCACCTTTCAGTATACTGGGCTACTTAATTAGTAACCCAACTCTCTGTATATATATAATGGCCTTTTATTATTCATGGCAATATGTTTATAAAAGTTTATATCAATATGACAAGTCATTTATAGATTTACAGATTGGAAATGGAAATGATATGAATGAAAATTATAGATTATTACAATCGGAACATCTCGGATATTTCTTTATTGAATATTTGGAACGTTTCGGCTATGTCTTATTCGATGTTTGACGGAAAGGGCTGAGAAGATGACAGCGCATCACTAAAGAATTTTATCAGGATGTTGTTAGCAAGTGTGAAAAACATGATCCAATATCTACATATATAAATATTGCAGATAAAAAAAAATATTCTAAAACAAAATATTGAAATTCATCATATAAATGATCGTACTAGATAACTTAGTAACTTTATCAACATAATTTCTCAGGACATATGATAAGCAAGAATATATCTATTGTTCTTTATCAATATTTGAAAAAAAGAAACTTAAGGAAAATATGCTCATCGTAGACCAATCTAGTTAAATAACTACATTCAAATATGGAGATTCGATGCCATTGTTTGGTGTATAGTTTGTAAGACTTAGGTGCATAATCTTGTATGAAATAATAGATATTTTTCCTCCTGTTAGAAAATATCTGCGATGTTACGCAACCTTAAATGGACTTTGAAATCGCTTACTGCTAATATTACATTGATTTTTATTTGTTTGGGTCGTCAGACCAAACAAATAATGGTAGCGAAATTTCAGACTCTAATGCTGTTAATTGCAAGTGCCGAAAGTAGTCCGCTTTTTTGAAGCGGTTACTTCTCTTTATATGTAACACTTAGGCCGAAAAATTTAGGGGAGATCACTGCGTAAATATGGTCACATGACAGGCGGATTAATTTTCAAGCAAAATAATTCCCGAATGGTCGAAGATTTCTAATATTTTTTATTATATTTAGAATAATATGGTTTTCTTCAGGCCAGTAACATGTAAATTCACCGAGGCCGAGGGGTTTGTGCGCTCGCTTAGGAAGCGAGAGGTCTGGAGTTCAAATCCCAGTTAAGGCAACTCATTTTTTTTTCAAATTGTTTAAGTCAAATAAACATTGGACCGAATATCGGTGTTGCAATTAGTCTTATAGCCAATCTACTACAATTAAAACGCTGGAAAGCATTGGTGGCACTATACAAAAACAAATTGTTTTATAATCTCACAACCTTCACCTTTCTGACATTCTGAGACCCAAACAAATTCAGCGCCTTCTGTGCTTTGATTTTATTATCTCTTCTACTTATCTTAATTCTTATTGCTTTACCAAGTCAGGCAGGTGAGTTTTATCCTGTGAAACCCTCAAACCCCGGAAAGCCTGAAAGAGTGTAGGACAGTGAATGAGTATCTAGATAAAAAAAACATATCAGGGTTTCACCATGATAATACAAATATAATTTACGTATTTCTTAAACACTATGTTGTGTTCATCAAGAGAGAATAGGATTTCAACGTATTTGGTTTATCTAGAATTTATTTTAATTCGATTGTGTAGGAGGAGGCTTTAATCTTAAAGACACACTCTCGAACCCGTTCCTGGAACCAACAAGAACTGAGTAATGGGTGTAGTTTCTTGTTAAAGAAAACAACGGCTCGCCCCTGATGAGGTTTGAGCCCACGCGAGCAGCGATCCTTGGGTTACTATCCACTCGGCCATGCAGGGGTTTATAAACAGAGAATTATAAAAGAATAGTTGAAACAGGACCATCTCTAAATGTTCTGTTGAAAATGGAGAAAATAAATTAAGAAATATGGTAGAAACAGATTTTTATTCAAATAATCCTAAATGAAAATAATGAAATCTGTTTGCCCTCTCCCACTAACAATACACACAAAAGGGGACACTATGGAAACAAATACATGAAAAGACGCACATATCTTAGATCAGTTATATTTAAACGAAGATTATGCTCGGATATTTAAACATAAAATAAGTAAATATGAGTCGCAAAAACTTCGAGAACGATTTTCGCAACATTAGGAAGTGAGAGAGCATGGCTCAACTCACAGATGCTGATTTACTGCAGCATGTGCAGTATAAGACTTTTTAGATCTCCGTTATATTATTGGTTAAAAAGATTTTTTAAAGGGTCATATGACCGCGCAGAAAAAACCAAAACAAAATTGTTTGCGACCAAGCTGACCCAAACCAGCCGCACATCCGCGCAGTCTGGTCAGGATCCATGCTGTTCGCTTACAAACTCTATTACAAGTAGAGAAACTGATAGCGAACAACATGGATCCTGATCAGACTGCGCGTAAGCGCAGGCTAGTCTGGATACATGCTGGTCGCAAACCCATTATGTTGGTTTTGTCGTGACGTGGCTCATATGATCCTATATAAACGGTTGTTTGGAAATATATAACCCGCAAAGTTATATTTCAAATAACCATTTATACTCGGCCATATGACCTGTCAGAAATATTTATAACGAATTTATAATGTGCAAGCATCCTTTTTAAGCGAACATGTGTGATTTCTGCACCAGTGTATATAAAACTATATAAAAGTCACGAACTAAGAACGATTATAGCGCATTGAAAACTTTACTATCTAATTGTTATAAGATATATGCATACTACGCACTTATAATAATATTTGAGGATAGTACAGTGAATATTGACGGTTTTCGCGCGGGGAATTCCCTCTATATTTTCTCTCTTTAGTAGGCCATCTTGTATATAATTGAAATTATATTTGCCCATATGATATCTTTCCATGCATTTATTCAAATATATCTTAACGTTATATAAAAATCTATATTTAGCTAAATTAAAATATAATTATTTATGTCATGTTAACAGTTATAAACAAATCTCAAATGTTGTTAAATAAAGTTACTTTCACTTTCTATTCCGTCTTAGTTACAATGTAAGCGATCTGCGTCATACATTCAATCTACATTCTTTAATCACGGTGCGTAATCGTTTCGGGCTGATTTGGAATATTTTATTGCACCGGTTGATTAAGATAAAATGGACTTTTAGCTTGACGAGGTAAGAAAACACATTTACATCTGTTAGTCTTTGAGTATTCTACTTGCACGGAACATTGCAATTTTTAAGGAATTCATATACAACTTTATAAGGTTTGTTAACGGTCTTTTTATCAGTTGAAATCGAAAAACAATTTTCACATGTCAGTGAAGTAGTAGTAAACACTAACATAAAATTGCCAAAAAAAGTCATTATTATCTTTGATTTTTCAGGTATTTCATGATCATTTTATAGAAAATGCATTTATTTAAAAAAATAATTATCTATCTATATGTCATGTTAATAGTTAACAAAAATCTCAAAGGTTGTTAGACTTTAAGTTACTTTCACTTTCTGGTCCGTCTAAGTTATGTAACATCGAAATGTAAACAATTTGCGTCATACTAAAAAATAATACATTCAAAAATATAGTGTAACAGGAAGGAACTCCAGAGTGAGTATACCTTAATAGACATAACATTATTAAACAGTTAATTTTATAAATTGCAAGATAAGTAAAGTAAATTTACAATTCGCTAGTCAACCTTTGCATGAGATTATATTGTTAATTTTCGTGTCGAATATTTTATCTCTCTTACCAATCTTATTGTACAGTTTTCATGTCTATCTCCATACGCTTTTCATGTATCGGTAAAAGTACGGAGTCCTGTTGTAATCAGCAAAAGTTTTTCGCGTGACAAAAATCGCAATAATTACGCCAGCTTTACGCTGCTTTACGTAAATTATAATGCAAACTCCTTACTTTGAATTATGGGCTGTTTGAAAGACCTGTTGCAGAAAAGTGTAGTCTAGATCTATATTTGGATTTCAGATTCGTCTATTGTACGGTCATTGACATAATCATGAAGGTTATTATAAAGCATTTGTCAATAAGCAGTATCTAAAACCTGCATAACTTTATATCCATATCACTGTAAAAAGAAAAGAAAAGAATAGATTTCTATATATATATTGTACTTTTTTGAGCGGGAAAGATATTGTCATGACTTTCGAAGTTTCAAAACAATCCAAAATGAATGATCAAAATTTGTTACAATTATGAAATCTGCAATTGATGCGAAGGGACCTTAATTTTTTAGGATGTGTGTATAAATATATGGCAATGCGTTTATTGTATTAAATTCAATTAATTTACAACAAATTTTGAATTAATGGCTCATGTAATGTATGTTTTGTGTACATGTATATGTGTGTATGTATGTTTATATGTATATATAATAGATTTATAAGTTAGTGGTTCAAAGATCAATTTTGATATGAAAATGTTCGAACATCCTGGCATCATATATTTATTGTGCAATCGAAATAGGTCTTCATAGTAGTAAGGTATTATGAACAAAACTTTTTTCTTGCAACATTTAGATCTATTTGTTTGCATGTTTCATTGTTTTTGTTTTTTATGTTTTTGATTGTTTGTCATGACAATTGAAAAATGTCGAACTGACCATGACCTTGAGCTTTGAATATGAACGTCAAGGTCAAGTTTGTTTTTGTTTGTTTGTTTGTTTTTGTTTGTGGTTTTTTTGTTTTTTTTGTTGTTTTTTTGTTTTTTTTTCCAGACTTCCTGATTAAGGAAGGCCTTGTACCCTTTCGAGCTCTTTATTTAGCATTAGAACCACATACTGAACAAAGAAAGGAGCATTTATCTGTAAAAATTTACTATTAAAATTTTGTTGTATTAAAAAAAAGAGGGTACCAATATCTAAAAAATAAATACAATATTTTATGGTTTAACAAACAAGGCTATGCAAATTATCGATAAGAAGCGTTATGTAGCCAAGTCAAGTCAAAGTATTTATTCGCATAAACATATATACATGTTTTTCGCCACACATAATTGGCGGTATATTAACAAAAGTAATATAATATTGAAAAGTATGAAAATAATTATATAATTCATGTTTCATGTTCATGTTTTAACTAAAGATGGGCAGTTTTAAGTACACATAAACACATACAATACAAGACATGTCATATTTAACATATCTAATAATATACAGCATAAATATGAAAAAGAGTTTAAAGAAATACATATTTTATTAAACAACAACACTCTCGTTTCTCTTCTTTAAAGCCAGATAGACAAATTTTGCAAGTTTTATTATAACAGATCTTTTGGTTGTTGACATAAGCTTATTGAATTTATTCATATTAGGCCATGTGTAATAATAATTATCTAAAAGAGTTAAACGTAATTCTCTATAAAAAGGGCATATTAACAAAAAATGATACTCTGATTCAATTTGATTCATATTACATCTTCTACATAATCTTTCGCTTCTAATAATATTCCTATATCGACCTTCTTCAATCTCTAAGTTGTGTGATGAACATCTAAATCTCGCTAGTGATTTCATATGTGCCTCAACATTAACAGTATTTAAATAACTAGCTTGAATAAAGGTTAACTTAAAATCTCTATAATAATCTAATTTAGAAGATGAGTCTAATTCAGATAACCATTGTTGTAAATATTGATCATGGATTCTTTGAATAATTAATTTAACATTCCTTTCAGATATTCTATCACAATTCCACAGGTAAGAAAAACCAAGGTCATCTAATAACTTTTTTTACATTACATTTCGTCCCTGCAACATCATTAATTTATACATAGTTGAGTCAGGCATATTTTTAATCTTATACCAAAACTTAATTATTTTAATTTTACGTACTATATATAAAGGAAATACACCAAATCCTCCATAAACTGCAGTACTGCATGTTTGTTGTTTAACACCAAGTATTTGTTTTAGAAACTTTAAGTATACACGTTCTATTTCCGGAGATTTATGGAAACCCCATATTTCAGATCCGTAACATAAAATTGGTAATACCATTGAATTAAAGAGTTTTAATTTATCTTCAATATTTAAATTAACATTATCAAAAAGGGAGTTCAAAGAATAAAGAGCTTTTAAAGCTTGGTCAGACAATGATTTTTGAGCTTGATAAAAACTTCCATTAGATGATAGCGTTACTCCTAAATAAGTAAATGTTTTAACTTGTTTTAAAATTTTATTGTCATACTTAAGCGATATATTTGAAGGTCTATTACCTTGTCTAAAAACCATTACAACTGTTTTATCTGAATTAACTTCAATATCCCATTTCCTACAATAATTATACAATTTATTAAGTAGAATTTGTAAACCTTGTTCAGAGTAAGAAAATAAAGCAGCATCATCTGCAAACAACAACAAATAAATTTGTAATTCCTCAATGGTAAAAACATCTTTACTATCGTCAGCTAAGTGATCTTGCATATCATTAATAAACATAATAAACAAAAAGGGAGATAATGGCTCCCCTTGCTTCAAGCCCATGTAGCTATCAAAAAGTCAGTTAGTGAGCCATTATTACGTACACATAATTTCACACCCTCATACATGCTTCGTAGCGTACCGTAGTTTTGATGAATCATTAATAAAAATGTAAACGCGCAAACGTAAAATACTACATTGTATTCTATTTTTAGCATAATGACATTTAAACTGACTCAGGACTGATCACACGAATTATTTGACTCTCGGAATATCTTATTCACGAAGGTAATTTGATTATTATTATGTTTAACAATAACCTTTGCAATAATGAATTTAGTGTGACGTAAAGAGTGCATTAGATTGAGATAATTGTATATTAAGATGATTTGAACTGCCGTTTGCATACCAATAAATATATAATTAAAATTTACCGTAATGTATCCAAAAATGTCGGCAAAAGCCTGTTTAATTTATCAATCTGTCAAAGAAATCTAATCATCACGGGGGAGGAACTGTTACTCGAGGGATGGAGTTCTTATGATGACTTGTCAGGAGTTCTTGTGATAACTGTCACAAAGTTCGTCGGAAAACATGTGTATATACTACAAAAATACTCCTCAAAAATGGTAATTTTCATCTTTAAAAAGTGAGTTTTCGGTGATGAATTAAACTTTGACACAAAATACAAGATGTTATCATAAGAACGAACTCCATCCTTCGTGTAACAGTTCCTTCCCCGTGATCATAAGCTATTCATAAACCTCGACATGCTCACCTGACTGTTTTAGTTAGGTTAGGCATATATATTCGTGGGTCAATATGGAATGCAATAATAAGTCTTCGCTCAACCTTTTGTTATGTATGCAACATATTACATGTATATAATTTATATCTGACCAGTTGGTATTTCCAATATTATCATTGTTCTATTTTTAGAACATGAACTACATGCATGTCAACAGGAAGTTTCTTACCTGTTGTAGAAAAGTCTAGATTATGATTCATGCATTATATTTAGATAGAAACTTCCGGAATGTTCTTTATTGTTGAAGTTGCTAGATTATGATTACTGTAGAACATAATAGACTTTTCTGGAATTTTCTTAGTTAATATATATAAAGGGACATTTTTCATTACTTTTATCTTTTAAGTCATCAGTTACCTTTTAAGTCATCAATATATTTGGAGTATTATTCAACTTGGATATTAAGTGATTTATTGGAGCTTGGATTATTTTAAAATAGTTAAAATTATTCTTGTGGATTTTATTGTGGGAATTTATTCTAAAGTGTTCTTGGATTTTACTTGGATTTAAGTGTGCTATTAAAAAAGGGATCATTCCAGGATCAGACTAGACATTTGAGATTTCATTTTTTTTATTTGGACTTCAGGTATTTGTAAACATAATTTGTTATTTTATTTTTCTTTTGATAATTTTTCTGTAATAAATTTGTTATTGTTACAAGTTTGTTGCTGGCTTTTCTTTCTCGTTACGCCTGGCTCGTAACACTTTTTAAAACCCTTAATAAATATTAATTCGTAAAAACGAAATATTATTTCGTAACTACGAAATAATAATTCGTAAATACGAAATAATATTTCGTAAAATCGAATTAAAATTTTTCTAGGGTTTCAAAGAGTTTTGGTAATATTTATAAAGAAGGCCTTGAAACTAAGTTCTCGACTAAATAGAAGGCGTGTAAATGCAATATAAATAGTGTTTTTTTTTTCTCCCCAAGTTTTATAACTTAACACTATTGTATATAAATTAAAATAATCGCCTCTCAATAGCGTTGCAGCCACAGCCGTGATAGTACACGCGCTAGGAAACTTTTGTTAAAATGGGGGTCATGTGCTTCAAATCCAAGCACGGACAATTTATTTCTGTTTCGTTTTTTCGATATTATTGAGTTTTGAAATAAAATATTATGTTTTTATGACCGCACGGTGCCCATACATAAATTGTAAGGAAATACTCTTTTTTAAATTGATTACATTAGTGAAAATCTGGACCCCCCCCCCCCTTTAATTTTGCTAATGTATATGATAAAAGAAAGTAATAATATACATGTAGCATGTTTATTTCTTACAGAAACATGTCAGAAAAGATTAATGGCCTAAAAAAAAACGATGGGAACATGTATTTGACAATGGGGGAAAAGAGGATATTTTGAATTGAGAATGACTTCTCACTCAAAAACCCTGTTCACTTAAATATATTAACTTGAAAACCATTTTGACTTATAATCGCAAGATTGATCCAGGTTTACATGTACAGTTTTTATTTGTAAGTTTTTGACACTCATATAAAAGTAATTATAATCAAATCTTAGGATTAAGCTGTCCAAGTACTAATCAAATCTTTTGATTAAGATGTCTTAGTGCACAGCACAAGTACACATTTTTAACATTTGTATTGAGAAGATGGTTATTCAACACTTGCAACTTAAGTTAAAATATTTAATTCATTAAGTTAATATTTGATTCATACTGGTACAAAATGAAAGTTTTTTTTTCACGTACAAAAAAATCCTATTATTTTAATATTACTTTTCTGAAAAAAATCTGGGAAATGTACTTTCTGGTGGAAAAAGGCAAAATGTTTTGGACTTAAATTTACGGTGGCACAGACGTGACATGTGTTTGTTTTTATTTACGAGATACTATATCGTGGCCACGAGTTACTAAGTCGGGCGCACGAGATAATGAAGTGGTGCGCAAGAGATACTTTGTCGTGCGCACAGATAACTAAGTCGTGGCCACGAGTTAGTAGGTCGTGCGCACAAGATACTGTATCGTGGACATGAGTTACTAAGTCGTGCGAATACTAAATGATGGGCACCAGATAACTTACTGGTGCGCACGAGTTACTAAGACGTGCGCACGAGATAATTAAGTGGTATGCAAGTGATACTATGTCGTGCGCACGAGTTATTGAGTCATCAGTTTGAGATAATTATGTCGTTACTTTGTGTTGCGAACGAGATAATTAAGTGGTGTGCAAGTGATACTATGTCGTGCGCACGAGTTATTGAGTTATCAGCTTGAGATAATTATGTCGTTACTTTGTGTTGCGAACGAGATAATTAAGTGGTGTGCAAGTGATACTATGTCGTGCGCACGAGTTATTGAGTCATCAGCTCGAGATAATTATGTCGTTACTATGTGTTGCGAACGAGATCATTAAGTTGTGTGCGCGAGATAAATGTCCAATCAGATTACACTATATTTGTGATTTTTATAAATTCGTTATCTCATTCGCGCCCACATAGTAACTCGTGCCCACGACTTATTTATCTCGTGTGAACGACTAAGTAACTCGTGTGCATAACATAATATCTCGTGCACACCACTTAATAATTTCGTAGGCATGATTTAGTAACTCGTGGCCACGACTTAGTTACTCGTGCGCACGACATAGTATCTTGTGCGCACCACTTAATTATCTCGTGTGCACGACTTAGTAAGTCGTGCCCGCGACAAAGTATCTCGTGCATCACCACTTCATTATCTCGTTTGCACGACTTAGTAACTCGTGGCTACGGCACAGTATATCAAGCTCACGAGATAAATAAAAACGCACAAATGTCTTCTCTGTGCCACCGTTTAAACTGCTTGAATTATCAATAAACCATCATAAATAATGGTCAGCTTGGCAATGTGCCATTCCAATAACCCAAACTTGAAAATGGATCAGTTTTTTTAATCGTATATACGTAATTTTGACGATGTTAAGGTATTCACATCCCCTGTGAAGGTATTACGGATCGAGACCGTGTTAATTTAGATATCAACGCTTAAATACAAACATGTTAGAATATTGTATTTCATAATATAGTTATTAATTTACGTCGTTTGTAAAATGATACTCTGTATTAACGGATGATTTGCTTGCTTTGTTTGAAATAGCTTTATTGCAAAATCCAAAATTACTATGGTGGCTGTTTAATGCCATGTCATATTTTTGCTTCTCGTGACGCCAGAGAAAAACACAAAAATACGATAAAGTGTTGACTTTATCGTACATTCGCATCGCGGGGCACCTGACGAAAACACGAACATACAACATAGTGACCCATATGTCGTAATTTTGTGTTTTCGTCTTTCGCTTCAAAAGGCACTAGATGAAATCTCGAAAATACGACAAAGCAACCACTTTGTCGTATTGCTTCTCTGCGGGGCGCTAGGTGAAATCAAGAGAATACGACATACAGATTACTTTGTCGTATTTTAGTGTATTCGTTTGGCGACCCGCATGGCGAAAATCAACAATGCACAAATCAGCCAGCATACAAAACGAACTATCAGAGTAACATGTAACTTTAGTCAGATTATATTGAACACTATATAGATCTAAATTTAAGCTTAGTTAAAGCATACATTCTACTCGGTCTTAGAAATGTTTTTTAATATGTTGTGATTTTTTTTCTATTTTCAGTCGGTGTTTAGATCTTGACGTATCCAGTACCTCGTAACAGAGTAATGGCGCAAAGTAAACAACTCGATAGTCGAAATAAAGCGTGTAGATATCCTGAACAAGACAGCTATAGTGAAGATACCTTTTCTTCTGAAGTCTTCGACGAAATCAGTTTGTGTGTTAGACCGGAAGAAGATCGTGAGATTATTAGTTTTGACCCAAACGATGATACAGATGAATTATCGTCTGTTAAACCAACCGTTAGCTGTGCAAAATGTGTGGAGCATGTACGTGTGGAGAAGGTGTCACAAATTCTCAGAGGCCATCATATAACTATGCCTGGTAAAATGGTTGGCAACAAGTATGATCCAGAACGCCGGGAGCAGAAGTGGATATACATGCACCATGCCATTGTTAAAGATATCATAGCTAAGGATGACCAGAAGTCAGTCGTGGAGCTGAAGTTGATCCACATGTGGGAAAACGAACGCGGTGAGCTTGGGCTTTGTGAGTCGAACACGCAATTCGCTCTTGCTAATGACGAGTTGTACATAGTGGAATATAAACATCCGAGATTTACGCGGGAACAGGTGGTAGAAAGAGCGGAGAAAGCGCTAAATGACCGGGAAAATGCTCGTAGTGAATCCAAAATGATACGGTTCAGTTGTTACAATGTGGTCACAACAAACTGTGAACATTTTGCCACTTGGTGTGTGGTAGGATTACAAAAGAGCCACCGAGATTTGTATTTCTGGCAGCAAATAGGTCAGAAGGTTGTCGAGATAGGCGAAAGTGAACAAGTCATGGAGATGAAGGCGCGGCTTGTTGACATATTTGGAAATGCAAGCAAAATAGTAAAAGGCTTCAAAATTCTGTTTGATTCTTCAGATGAAATAACGAAAATAGTCGGAGACAGCATTAGCATGCCGAGCGCAACAACAGTATTAAGCGGCACTGCCGCCATGTATGTATTATATTGCATTATAATGACTCTATACTTTAAGTATAAGTACGCAAGAAGTGAAATATGTGCTTCGTGTTTTCGAAACAGTATAATGGATCTTTGGGCTAGATGTTATGTGTATGGAATCACCTCTGTAGCCACGTTTTTCATACTGAATGGCAGCGTATCAATTCCTGCAGTGGTAGGTGCCTTCACGCTAATAGCTTTGTCGGTGGTTTGTCAACATTACATCCCAAATATAAGAAAAGCTCTGATGGCCCCATACGGGTGCAGCAAGACCGCAATATATCGGCTTGACGACATAAATATCGGAGATATTGTTACTATACAGTATTGGGGTCTTCCCCATGACGTCATTGTTACGGAAGTTCACACAAATAGCAGTGATAAGAAAGGCAAGATTCGAGTTGTTCACTATGCTTTGGGCTCACTGTTTACGACCAGAGAAGTAAAAGAAGAATACTTTACATTAAGATCGGTTTCAAAACATGTTCCTATCTTGCACCGTCATGACTGTGATCATTTGAATTTGTTTTCTCCTGAAATTGCTGTCCTAAGGGCTAAGCAGAGAATAGGTGAAAGGAAATGGCATGGGACTAAAAACCGTTCCGATCACGTTTGCTACTGGGCGAAAGTAAAGAACTACTTTACTGCAGATGCAACAGACGACACGCAGCATGGATCGTCTGCTTCTCTAGAGGATCAAGGTCAATCGAAACTTCCGAGTACCTTGTTTGTGGGTGAGATGGAAGCACACCTCAGTAGCGACATAGAAATTGGGGACGCTGTAAGAGTTAAAGGTGTGGAGGGAATACTTGTATACAAAGATTGTGGAGAAAGGAAAATGAAATTGAAGATTATCACTGTTAAAGATTCCGTGAAAAAGCTGAAACAATTTGTAAATCTCAATACTGACAATCTTACAGTTTTGCGATACCACCCGGTGCATTGTCATCCGAAACCAGTGCGAGCTGATCGGGCCAAATTGGTAATGGGCCAGAAAATTCCGTTGAAAAGTTTTATGGATTTTTGTTTATTACTTAAAAGTTAACTTTGAGTGATCGATTACAAGAGTTAGTGTCTTCGACATTAATGTAGCTGAAGTTTGAAGTTCGACAGTCTTGCGCAGGAATGCTAGCTTCTGATTTGATACAAAAATGCCGTTTATGTTGTGAAACGGTTGAAGTACATACATGTTTATACATAGGTCATGTGAATGTATTTACTTTAAATGTATTTACTTTGCATAATAACTCATAAAATAATATATCATTGGTAATATGACTACATGTACACGGAGTGTGAAGGAATAATACTGGTGTACATGCAATATGTCATAAAACGTGGGAAACTGCTTGTACATAACTGCAGAGACTTTGAAACAACCAGTTATGAGCTATGTAAAGGTTTTAGCTCAATGGAACAACGTCTTTCCCTCACAGGGGTTAAATCTACCCAGCTAGCGGTTAGAATCAAACCCCTAAGTCAAATACTAATTATTGAATTTTCTAACCGGTTTTCAGCTAAAACCGTCGTACCCGTTTCAACGGATAATCGTGAAACCCCAAGCAAAATGAGTATTGCTTAACAGAGTGCCTCTCTGCAGCTGCTGTATTGTATTTGTGTACCATGTTTATGACTGACCAGTAAAACAGGTCCGACTGTGTGTAGTATTAGAATGTTTCTTTATAACATACGTTTTCTTATGATTGTCTGTAAAACAGGGTCGACTGTGTTAAGTATTATAATGTTTCTTTATAATATACGTTTGTTACGATTGGCCTGTTAAACAGGTTCGACTGTGTTTAAAAACATTAAAATGTTTTGGGGCTTTTTTTGTTGTTTTTTTTTTTTCGTTTTGCTTTTTTAGTTATTGGTGCCCGTTATGTCTCAGAAATGCTTTTATTTTATTTCTCAAAATCTTTTTTATATTTGAAGTTTTCAACATGTTACGCATTGGTTATTTATCTGAACCATTTGTTTCTGTGTCCATATGGTAATAGTACAGATGTAGTGATTTAGTATTTGTATTGAGGTCAGAATACTACTTTGTTTAAATTTTGCTACTTTTATGACAAATAATTTAAAATTCAGCACAATTTTCTTCATGTGGTAAGCATCTAACATGCTCTTAAATTATCATTTAACGTTATTATTACAGATACATCTCATGTTTTCCCTTTCTAAGAATGGCATATATTAGTTTCTGAGTCATAATGTGCCTTTAAATAAGCTTTATCCGCTTTCATTATAAATTTCGTCATAAAAAAATCTGTACCATAATATTATGGGGTGGAAGTTTAGAACATCATCAAAAATCCTCATCGCCGTTTCATTGTTAAAATAAGTTAGATATTTCTTTATAATTGCCCATTGTCATAATAATTTTTTTTATCTTTCATACAAGAAAAAAAATTATTGATTCACTTGTACAAAAGCAAAGTTTTAAAATAGTTGTGAGTATACCTTCATTTTGTGCCAATGAGTTATTGAAGAAAGAAAATTGTTTTCAGTAATCTGTTTAGTATTATACCAGTATGGTACATGTTTGTATTATAGATAAAATAAAATGCATATTTCCATTTTCCGTATTTTGACTTTATAAATTTACTGCATATTTTTCCGTAATTTAACTGATGTCTTGCCGGACTTCTTTTAAATTCAGCCAATACACAAAAATAAAGGAAAGGCCTTTCGAATCGTTGGGTAAAAAAGAGAGAAAGTATATTATAAACAGAAAATGCAAGTTTTGGCTATAAATACAGGACTTATTTCCATTTCGTGGTATGAAAATTATCATATTTCACCCGTAACTGCCGCCATTTACAGGTTCTAGACAATTACCATATTAGAACTTTACCATTCGGATATGATGTGAGCATCAATGGTTACCATACCGGGAATCATATTGCCAGGTTCGAGTCGGTAACATTCCCAACTAAACCGAAGGGTAAAAGCTATATCTTTTTTAAACATTATTTGGCATATTTCGACACGAGTTCAATGCTAAACATATATTGCATGCTTCTATATTGACTACCGCAACTCAATATTTATCTTTATTTCAATCAATGAAAATAAATCCAGTATTTATAGCACGAAACTTGAATATCCCCAATTCTTTTTTTGCTGACTGATTATGATCCTCCGTAAACTATTTGTTCCGATTCCTCTCGTAAATTGGGAACAACCTGACAAATGAATCGTGCCATTGAAACGGACAGTTGAACCAAGTCGGTCGTTATCTTATTTTCTTGAATATATTCGTACAACTATTATAGCCGAACACGTATGTTATACTATTTGGATTTCTGGCGTATAATAAGAACATGTTGGCAGCCAGGCATCCTAGTCTACGAATCCCGCGCGAAACGTCTCATGAAAGGAAGTCTATTTGCCTGTTCAGGATCAATATATATTTATGGGAAAAAATAATATTTAGAATTGACAATAATCAAATTCATAACAAATAAAATCTGAAGCTTTTCTCATTACATATTTTAGAATAAGGAAGACAAACGTGGGAGTATTATTATTCAAAGGACGAGTGGCCACTCTTTATATCAGCGAAAATCGTGTTCTTTTTAGCATCAATGAATATGTTATGATGGCAGATTTTATTAATCACGGATTTGAATCAACTCCTAATTACAAATGTAGTTGCTAATTTGTTACAATTTTGCGCTTTGCGTTGTCGCTAGCTACAACACAACAATAATTGTTATCGTCTTGTCGCTGCGAAACGCGCCAAACTGCGTGTTATCGTCCATGATGCCCACTGCCCAGTCGCTTGGGTAATATTTAAGGGTTGGCTTCTTATCGTGCTATCGCATGGCTCGTTATCTCGAGCATAAAAGTGCCAATAAGCCATTTTGCCTGTTTTGCTAGCGACAGGACGACAAGAAGACAAGTCGATAACGCGTTTGGCTCAACGCGAGGCACAAAAGTGAAACAAATCAGCCGCCATAAGATTTCGCCATGTTATTTACAGAAAGTAATAATCATGAAAGAAGTATCGAATTTTAAATAACAAGTTTAAGCATTAAATCTGATTTTGTTGTTTATATGTTTGGAATATTGGCACGCGTATTCTATTCACCTCCCAATTTCTATCATTTACAAATGCACCACCTAGTGAAAGACAATATTTACTTTGACCGAGAATATTCGGGTGTCAGAAACGAGATTTATTATTAATCACGGATTTAAATCAACTCTACGCATTAGGATAAAAATAATAGGGTTGTCAAACCTTTTGTCGCGTGTAAATAGCGTTTTCCCAGACACAGTCAATGGATGATTTTTTTTACATGTTTTTCATTGATAAAAAGACAGACAATTGAGTCAAAAGGCTATATTCATTCTATTAATATACATGTATATAACATTGGTCCGATAACTTAATTTCCCTATGGGGAAATAATCTGTCATTTTTGAGACAAAGAGTTTGCAGATGTGCATAATGTTCGGACATTTTATTCTATTGCCAGGCGATAATTAGGAGTTGATTTTAAATCAGAGTTCATCCATAACTAACGCTTTGGTCTAATATTCTGTCTTACACTCCTTAGATTAAGTAATACTATGTTTATTGGCCAAAACTAGAAAATGACCACAATTCATTTTGGTGTCAGACGGTCAAAGGTCAAGTGACTGTCTGTGACCTTCAAAAGGCTTGTCCGGCCAATAATACTGAAGTCAAAGGTCAATGTCGCCTTGTCGTCAATGGCATTGAAGGAAAAAACTACGTAAAGAGCACTTTTTTAAAGAGGTCTTTTTTGTGGAGTTGGGTAACGAAGAGTTGACCAGATTTTAAGGCCATGATACGAATACTTTTTAGTTTACTATCGTTGTCTTAATTTGAAAGTTGAAATATTTAGTATTTTACCCTATGATTTGAGTTTATATTATTATTAATTATATTATAATTATTAATTTTTTTTCCTTGAGGGGATGACAATGTCTTAATTTGAAAGTTGAAATATTTAGTATTTTACCCTATGATTAGAGTTTATATTATTATTAATTATATTATAATTATTAATTTCTTTTCCTTGAGGGGATGACAATACATGCTCCACAATCATTTATAATTTGTGTGATCAAGTGCAATTTAATTTACGAACATTTTATAATTGTTGATGAGGAATAAAAGCCAATACCGATGGGAAGGACTAAAATACAGAGAACTGCAACCTTCGAGGAGCATTAAAACAGTATACGATATGCAGGATCAATCTTTATTGCCGCATTGCGCAGAATCTTTACACCATCTTAGAAGAAGAAAGATTCCCTACAACGTCTTATCGAAAAATATATTACTTATATATATTTGGATTTGAACTGTGTACACTCTGGGAAAAAGGCCCGAAGTTTAGTTTGGCATCGACATTACTAAATGACCTGAGAAAAATGTCCAAATTCCGTGTAACTCTTCGACATTGCCTGCCGGGTACGCGTTCTCTGCCCAAACTTTATCCGCTTTCATGAGCTCGACGGTAGCTGCCACTGTAGCTGTATTGAATACATCCTTTGTGTTAGTAATTCCTTGTGCTAGTGTGACTCCGTTTTTAACTATCTGCACGCTTAGGTTGTGGCCAGGCATTTTTGTGAAACTGACAACAAAGGTATAGAGTCCATGGTAAGGAGCGGTGAAGTGTCCACTATATTCGTCTTAGCCGTTACCTATGTTTGTTAAAATCTTGTCGAAAATGATATGTTGATATAGGGCGAATGGAGATATCTCATGCGTCAGGTGTACATTAAATCCGACTGCATCGATGCAGGGACACCCTGGAATTATTCCAAACGATATTTGTTAAAATATGTGCAATGATCACCTTTTGTATATACATAAGCATGTTGTCACGTTTCTAATTTTGGCACGTTTTATACTTATTTTTATTTTTGTAAGCTCACAACTTTTCATTTATTCATTATTTTTAAATTTCATTATATGTGTTAGGTCCTGAAAAGTTGATACGTACAAACACATCCATTTTCCGTGGGTCCTATATTGTTGTTGTTGCTGTTGTTGTTCTTGTTGTTCTTGTTGTTGCTGTTGCTGTTGTCGTGATGATGATGATGATGATGAAGACATTTATTATGTATGGTGATGGTGCTCATTATGATGAAGTTAAAAAGATGGTGGTAATGATGATGATGATGATGTTGCTGCTGCTGCTGATTATGATGATGATGATGATGATGATGATGATGAGGATGATGATGATGATGTTGCTGCTGCTGATTATGATGATGATGATGTTGCTGCTGCTGCTGATTATGATGATGATGATGATGATGATGATGATGATGATGATGATGATGATGATGATGATGATGATGATAGAAGTGCACTACACATGTTTTATTTATTATCATCATGGTAAAAGACATCATGAGGATCATCTTTAATATTCTTCATGTCAGTGAGTGAGTGAGAATGAATCAATTAATCTACTTTTAAAGATGAAAATGTAATTATTGCTTTATCTTCTAATAATTGATAAACATAATTACTTACTAGCAGTATATGCCTCCAACTGTTTGACTCGAGCTTCAAGAGCAGTAAACCGTTTGTCAATGGACAACTGGTTTTCCAAAAAACGTTGACTGTAAGAAAAGAAAACGAGCATAAGAATTCTGCGAAACATGTCTGCACACTTCAAACCGTATGATCTCACTTTTTTAATACATCCGCTCTGTTAAATTATTACGCATGCCTTTGTTTCAACAGTATCGAACAATGTTAAAGATATCGGTTAAAAAAATTGTTTAACAGAATACTTCCGTCCGGTATTTTTTTTTTTGCTCCACGATCAATATTGATATAATAACAATTAGTTTAAATCTGGAAAACAGGAGGTAGCGCTATAAATCTTATCATATATGACCAAACATGTTTTTGAAGTTTGAATTAAATCCCTAACCCATTATCTAAGTTACAGAAAAGAATAAGGACAATTCTAAGTTTAACGGGTAGAAACCCCGCAATATATTGATTTTAGAATCATGTCATATAATTATCATTTGGGAATTGATATGCAACTTATATTTAAAGTTTAAAGTAAATCCTTTAAAAAATAAAGAAGTTTCAAAAAATAGCATTTTTAACAAAAGTTCAATGCGTGATAATTCTGAAAAGAAAATGTGCACTAGAGTTATGAACCTTGTCACATAAGCTGTGGTTGATAATAGGAAACACGTGTTTGAATTTTAATGCTGATACATTATGAATTAAAAAAAAAATCAAAGTAAATATTGAAAATGAATATATATAAATTTTAATTTAAAGTGAAAGCTACGTGGTGAGGTAAAGGGCAGTTAAACCATTTACTTCGAATATGAAGCTAAAATGCAAAAAATTGGACAAATTTTGCTATGTACTTGACTGGATATTAACGTGAACAATAAAATAGATAGCACTAGTTCCTGGGCATGAACACAAAACTGCCACTCTGCATTCTGAGTCATGAAGGCGTCTAAGTTGATGGTGTTGGTGTTGATAGTTTTCACTATATTTATTTAATGTCCCAGATGAAATGAACGTAGCCTTTTGGCTTGATTGTCTAGTTAACAA